TAAATAAAGTTGCAAACACAATTTGGAAGTGGTGTGAAAAAAAGAACATATATATATTTGCTTCGTATATTAAATCTTCTCTTAATACCGAAGCAGAAATTGAATCTAGGAAAGTTAATTTGGATATAGAATGGGAGCTAGCGACTTATGCGTTTTCAAAAATAATACGTTCATTCGGATCACCAAAAATAGACCTCTTTGCATCTCGGGTGAATGCTAAGTGTTCGAAATATATATTCTGGAAAAGAGATCCCTATGCCTATGAAATAGATATTATATATGATACTCCAGCCCTAAAAGCGCTACTTCAGCTGCTTTTAGGGCTGGAGTAAGTATTGATGTAATTAGAAGAGCTGCTGGTTGGTCTGTTCAATCAGAGGTCTTTGCAAATTTTTATAACAGGCCAATTGTTAATACATCTAGAAATTTGTTAAATAATTGTTGATTAGTTTGTTAATAATATGTTAAAAATAATAAACACAAATGAGGTACACATTAAGTGGTTTTCTTTGTTTACCTTTATTTATTAATAACAACAGCAACGTTGATAAAAATCTAAACATCTACTTGTTAAGAATAAATCTCAGAGACGAAGTCAGGATAATTAGATGATCAAACGAACTTACCTGAAGTGAAGTTCGATCTTAATTATCCTGACTTCGTCGAAGAGATTTAATGTCCCACCCATCCCGATTTTGATGTTTTTTTTTCTCACTCTTATCACCCCCATTTTTTTTTTTAATACGCAGGTAAAAAATCTATTTACAGACGACGGCGCCTTTAAGAGGCACACCGCCGAACGGACCTCACACCTGGCTCCCGCAAGTCTTACGAACCCCACAGTGGCTGCCCACCGAGGACCCCGCAACTCTTACGGGCGCTTTACGGTATAATATCCGCTAAAAAAGTCCTGCGAATACCCTCTAAGCTGCTTAGTGCGAAACCGCGGGATCCCCGTTGAGGGATTCTTCCGCGTCTCCGCACCCAGCAGCCTCCCGGCCTAGCCGGGGCTCCACGGCAGGGGTCTCCCGAGGTATTGCGGGGACCCCGCAGACGTGCGCAGGATGGCCCGCGCGTGGGGGCAAAATACGCGGCCTAGTACCGTACCGTACCGCCCCCCGTCCGCTGCGGAGGACTACTTGGGCGTGCCCGTGTAGCTCCCTCCGCCGCCCCCCTCTTTGCAGGACAGAACTACAAGATGGGGGCTGCCGTCAGGGGACTCTTATCACCCCTTGACAATGTTGCTGTTTATTTCTCTAAAAAAATGATATCAGTGTCGAGCGGGCACACCAAGTAAACGGAGGAAAATGACAGCTATAACTTTTTTTTTTAATATAACTAACTGTGAATAGCTTGTGCGAAGGAATACAGCGTAGAGGGCCTACTACTTGTTAAGAATAAATCTCTTCGACGAAGTCAGGATAATTAAGATCGAACTTCACTTCAGGTAAGTTCGTTTGATCATCTAATAATAAAGTACCTGACAATATTAAGCAACTACCCTACAACAAGTTCAGAATAGTATTAAAAATTGGCTATTGGATAAAAGCTTTTATTCTTTAGAGGAATTTTTAAAAATTAAGTCCTGAATATTGAAATGAATGTCAATTTTTGGATTAATTTTATTTTGAATGCATATAATATATTGACATGAATATTAGTTTTTTGACATTGACATCAGGAATCGTAATTAATATTAACTTTGAATTGAATAATAATCTTAAATTGTCATGCTGAAAATTTTTGTTATTATAGGTATATAATAACAAAAATTTTCTAAATTGACATAATAGTACATTACGATACGCGCGACCTAAGTCGCCTATGGGTACGGCCAGAGTGCACTCAGATTCAGATTCAGATTCAGACTCAGAAAACAAGCGCGAGAAATATACAGTGTAGTTTAAGCAGGTTGCCTGCGGCCACTATGGCCACCCTGCTTTAATTACACTGTTTATTTCTCGCGCTTGTTTTCGGAATCTGAATCTGAATCTGAATCTGAGTGCACTCTGGCCGTACCCTATTACTGCACGGCGTGAAGTAAGCGCCCGAGCCGAGCGAGGGTGCTAAACGCCGTGCAGTAATAGACAACTTAGGCCACAAGTATCGTATACTATTTTATAGCAAGTCTGACATGAACCCGCCCCGGACGTGGGCAAGAGGGGGGGGATGCGATTAGTGTTTTGAAAGTAAAATTCATGTATTGCAATCACAAAGAATTGCTATACAGACTGCAAGTCAAACTGAAAAGAAAGAATTCCGGTTCAGATTACCATTTTGAAAGTATATTTCAAAATAAAAAATCAAATATCATTACAACAAAATAGAATTTCCATGTATCCATGAACGTTTATCCCTTGATTGGCATAGTAAAGTTAAGTTACGCGTATCGTAATGTACTAATTCTGCATGAGTGAAGTTGGTCAATTCATTTAGGTACACACCGTGCAGAAATAGGCAACTTGGTCACGGAAAAGCGTGCGTAAAGTGCGGGTTTAGGTCACACTGCTGCGCTGCACGCTGCTATAAAATATTTTTATTTTGAACTGACATTGAGAATTGTAATTAATATTGACATAAATTTGAATTTAAATTATAATGATAAAATACTTGTTATTAAATAAATGATAGATAAATTTAATATGACTGTTATGTTTTAATATATTAGAATTTTTTGCATGCTATTAATATGGGTAAATAGGTTTAAGATTCTTAGCTTTTAACATATGCTTTATATGCAAACACCTTTTGTCAACCCTATTTAATGCAAATAAAGATTATTCTATTCTATTCTCTCAATTTTAATTAGTAGGTATTACTGAATATTAATTATTAAGTGGGATGTCCTACCGGCCATGTGCCAGGTTGTCCCGCTTGTAATTTTACCTCTTTCTAATTGAATTGTATTGATACCTCTCTTTGTCAATTGATACAATGTGTTTGATCCTGCTATCCCTCCACATATAATAATTAAAAGTGTCTTTAGCTACCGAATCGAGATTGTGTTGAAGGTTGACCATAAAAATTGTTAACAACATTTTAATAAATCCATAAATATTTCCAACACTCATACCAATCAGCCTAGCCCCAAAGTAAGCACTATAAGGCTTGTGTTATGGAATAGTGATGTAACGAATGTCATTTTCTGAACATTAGCGAATGCGAATGCGGATGCGAAAGTCTGGTGCCGACATTCGCGAATGCGAATATTTATTTATTTTTTAAAATTAGTGCAAATTGTCTATGGCATGGTGGCAATCTCGTTCGAATTGCCGAGTTGATATGAACTCATCCGACTGAAGTGTCATTCCGCTCGCACCGGTCTTTCCGTAAACAAAACAAGTGAATTTTGAGGTTAGTGATTGTGAGTGGTAATAGTGATTTATTAACATGAGTAAATCGAATTCTAGTGAAACGTGGACTTATTTCACACTTTGAGATGCTGAACGAGCTAAATGCAAACTGTGTAACAATGAATATTCAAGGAAAGGCAGAACTACAATTTCTTCAAATTGTTTTTTTCTAATATTCATATTCGCAAAACATTCGCAGAGATTTTGCGAATGCGAATATTCAAAAATATGCGAATATTCGTTACATCACTATTATGGAATAGTAGGGCAACGGATAGAATACAAATACTGCACATATACAAGTATATTTCTACACAAGTACATAATAAACATCCATGACTGGAGTACAAATGCTCGCATTCATCACACAAACATCTGCCCCCACCGGCACTTGAACCTCCTTTGACCTCTCGAATCAGCGACACCATGAAACCCGGTGTACAAACCACTCGGCTAGACAAAAATTATAACTTGGTAATAAGTTATTTATTTATGTTTGCTTACCGATGACAACATCTGCGCAAGACACTGGTGTCGATTCTGGCGTGATTCTCTAAACTTAAAATATAGAGAATGACAAGGATACACTGTTGTCAAATTTAAGTTTAGGTTTAGAGAATCGTGTCAAAATTGACACCACTATTTCTTTAGTTGAATTCAATTTCTCTGCGTTAAATAATAAAAAAAACTGATAGTGTAATAGCACAGACATAGATCGGAATAGATAACGCAAGTGTATGTACTTCGCGTGTCAAAAGGAAGACAAATGGTCGCCTTTTTACGCTTTTCTCGATAATGGACGCCAATCGTAAAGTTTGAAAATCGTAACTTATAATTATTATTTTTTAAACATCTCACTGCTTAATGTTTAAATCTAAAGATAATACAACTAGAAAAAGTTCCACGCGGACCAGGCAGCAGACAAGACTCGAACCCGCACCCTTCGCTATCCGGGCGAATGCACTGACCAATTATGCTACCTCGGCCCTGATGGCCGCGTCGAAATTCTTCTAGCTATTCTTAAGCTACAAGGCAGCGGCATCTCTTCTCATTTTAGGTAACCCATAATGTCAAATGAATACTTTTACAAGTATTAAACATTTGAAAGAAGAAATAGCAATTATAGTTATAATTTTTATTTTTTAAGCATGTAACTGCTTCATGTTTAAATCTTAAGAATATATAAGAAGAAAAAATTCCACGCGGACCAGACAGCAGACGGGACTCGAACCCGCACCTTCGCTATCCGGGCGAATGCACTGACCAATTATGCTACCGCGGCCCTGATGACCGCGTCGCAATCATTAATAAAACGATATTAATATCTAACTTTTTAATAAAACCATAGTTTTTCTTGCAGATTTCAATATCAATGGACAAACAGTGAATGTGCAGTGAATTGACGAATTATTTTTCCAAAGAAATAATGTACTTAGGAACCAATTTTAATATGGATATGAAATTGTTGTCGATGGTGTTCGGTAAAGTTAATTCATAGGCCAGTCAACTGAAAATCTGGCGAGTCAAAAAGATATTATCCTTTGTCTACAGGTTTCTAGATCACCATCTACCTGTATCTCATAGTTCCTTATTGTTGGAGATTGATGATGACAAAAAAATAATTTCATTTAAAAAATAAAAAAAATATGGCAGGTATAATATTTATTATTTATACGTAATAATTCTTTTATAAACAATTATTTAAAATATTTTTTTTTAATTAGCTCAGTTCCATTAATTTTGCAAGTTTTACATATTTTTTCTAATCAGCTCAGTTCCATTTAAGTTGCAAGGTTTACATAATTTTACAACTCATGGTATTGTAATGTCACGACATTTGTCATGGCTTAAAAATTTTATTAAGAAACAATAGAAGTATAATTTATAGTAAAATCTAACAATAAAGTCTTACATGGAATACTTTGCTTAATAACCTTGCAAAGCGTGGTCCTTGGTCGTTTTGGCGACCACTTAGGAGCCACACGCCACAGCCACAAACGCCGCCACGAGAAGCTAGAAGCGGCTACTAAAGTGGCTGAAGCGCGCGACAGCGGCCGACTAAGGTAAGGGAGAGCGGGGTGGGGAATCGCGCAAGTGATGTGTGGCGGCGTTTTGTATCGGCGCATTAAGTGGCCGGTGCGGGCCGCAAGAAACGAGCAACGACGATTTGTAGCGTGTGGCGGCCACCGGCGTACCGTGTGTGGCGAGTCCATATAAAATGTATGAAAACTACAAGAAATATGCCGGTGGCGGCGTTTTGTGGTTGTGTTCGGTGGCCCGTGTGCGGCGACACTTAGTCATCAATATAAGTCAGCACAGATGAAAGGATAGGCGGTAAAGAGACCGAATTAAGTAGACGATTTATTTAGACTTCTACCTTTAAATTTAATATGAAATATGATACGCAAAGTGCCTTAAAGCTACGACTTTCTTGTAAAATATAGTAATTCTATGACCCGTATCTAAAAGTGCATCTTTTTGATTTTACATTGTAACATAATTCGGAAACTACTACGCCACACCAAACATTCAAGAGCTGTTACATCCCTAGTCTTAATATGTATAATTCTTTATGCTACATGAACACTGAGAATAGTAATTATTTTCAATTAAATTAAATCAAAACATTTTTAATTCTACATAATTATAGATATAAATGTATGCAATAAATGATTTCGTAACTTCTACTAAATTCTTATTTATACGTGTCATTTTAGCTTGAAATATTTCGTTCTAATAGTTTTATATTGTGGGTCACTAAGCAAAAATCAAAACTTCTGCCAATAAGAATAACTTATTATATTAATCCGTGATATATTCCAAAATGCCGACTCAAGGTAAGTCTTGGTTTAAACCTAATATTGTCTTTGTCATATTTTAGCAAACAAAAGTGACAACATCAGTTTTGGTCCAGGTTTAACTTTTGTGCAAGTTTAGATTAATCTTTTACTAACAAACAAATTTTATAAAAGCGAAGTTAACGTCTATTGAATTCCCGTCTTGGACCTCGTTTCTAATGCATCATTAAGCTTTGAAACGCCACGCAACGTTTATGGCAAATTTTGTACTATATATACATTACTAAATATTATAATATATTTGTGACTTTAAACTGTTTAGAAACCAAAAAATTTTTGAACTAAAATACCATTACTAGAATTATGTTTATAATTTCATCTTAGGGTAGCTACAGCCGGGCGGTCAAATCGAATAATGTAGTTGAATGTTCGGGAATCACAACCCGCTCGGCTTCAATTTTAGTTCAGCTAAGAATATAGGACGAAGACGCGAGCTCTGTTGTTTGTTTCTGCCAGTTTTGTTGTTATAACGAAAACCCAGAAGATTTTGGGTGCGAAGTCGCCATCAAAATCGTCACAATGAAGATTGAAAACCTAATGACAACGACCGAATGAAAACCGAACCGATTGTAGAGCAGAACGTATGTAGTAGTTGCTACGGTTCGGCTTTTTCGTTCCACAAGCACTGCTAAATCAAATGATATGTCGATCCAAATGAAGCCGAACTAGTGCAGTAATAAGTTTGGGTCAGCTTTGTTGTTCGACAAATACTGTCGAACCGACCATTTTGTCCGTTAAAGAAATACAAAGGGTAAACGGAGAAAACAGAAAGCTTTCTACAACAGACAACTGCGAATTTAAATGGCTTATAGTATTGTTATCAGTGATTTTTGGCAAGTTTTTTATATAATCATATTAACTAGTTAATACTAAAAATTGGACATATTTATATAGTAGGGTATATAACATTTATTTACATATACATACTTAATAAACCACATAGATTTTTAAATGCAAACATTTATCGTATATATTGCGATTACTAAACTAACGAATGTTTAAATAATACAAGCAATAGGCTATTTGACAGTATGAATAATAAAGTTCTAATTGTTGGCATTTTTATTTACTATGAATATAAGCAGCGATTTTACTTTTCTGAGAGAACAATAAATTAATGGATAATTTTGTTGCTGTTGCAATAAAAACAAAACGTTTTCAGTTTCGTAATTTAAAAGTTTTTACATACCTTTTAGAGAAAACAACCTTTATATTTCTATATAGCGTTTAGTAAATAGCAAACTTTTTTTTTGTAACTTTCATAATATAATAATGATACATACCAAGCTTTACATCAACTGAAATTTCGGAAGAAGTACATTAGTAATTATTTTTTACTAATATAATGAAATGTAATACTTATAACATCGGGGATTCCGTTTTCTCGCTCGTCATCATGAAATACACCGAGATGGTTGATAAAAAGCGAATATTGTCCATCAACCTTAGCTGCAACACGAAAAAATATATTTATTAGTTGATTATTATTTGTTACTAATTAGGAAAGTTATTACTGCTGCTCTGATTTATGATTTGAAATTTATCGATTGAACGTATGATATTTATTTAACGCAGATATACAAACTAAATTAAAGGATTTTATTAACTTAATAATAATAATTAATTAACAAATAAATAATTTTAACAGTTTTACATTATACTAGACTAGGTTACAAAAAAAAACCGACTAAGTACGTGTCGTGCCACGCACAGTGTAGGGTTCCGTAGTTGCCTGTATTTACCACAATATATTTGAGTAGGAGTCTTTAGTTACTATATCGGAAATTAGAAAATCCAATTAATATCAATCTATGTATTTCAACCCAAATTACCTAAATCCAAGTGAAACTGCGTCTCTTACAATTTAATTTTTGTTTAAATACAAATGATAACCGCTGTTTTTTTTTTTGTTTCCTCCCAGGCGGAGGAGCTGTTGTGCAATCGCAAATGTATCCCTAATCGAAGAATAGTTTTATGAACCACTAGGTAATTTTAAAGGACCTATTCAAGGATATCCCACACGATGGGGTAGATGATGAAAAAAAATCCACCAGGTTACATGTAGTAAGCTACACTAGAAAAATATTTTTCAAATTTTTATTCTACCATTTTGTTTGATCGATAGACATATCTGCACAAAATTACAGCTCTCTAGTGCTAATAGTTTCTAAGCAAAACCGGGGACGGACAGACGGATATATCGAAACTATAAGGGTTCCTTGTCAGGACTACAGAACCCTAAAACCCGTATTTCTATTCCTAGGCTCAAATTCTCTGTGGTTGATGTTCAGTAATCCCAATATATATGAGTCTGAGATGTGGGGTTTTGCCACAAGCCGCGCTTGGGCAAACTAGAAATTCAATATATTTTGGAAACGCCATTTATTAAATTGACTAGCAACTGCCATTATTGTTTCAAAACCCAAACAGTGAAAATGAGGCGTCATCGTCGCGGTATATCTAGGCATCATGAAGCTCCTCTTCTACGAGCTCGCGAGTCTGTCCGTATAACGCATTCCAGGACATGTAGGTTCCTACACACGTGCCGCAGTATCAGACGTGGTACGGGCTGGCAAATCTGGGCGACCTCAGGCGAGTCGGTGCTCCCTGGCCGTGTGGTCGTATAGACCCTGGCACGTTGACTGGTTCCACTCAGGTGCGGCAGTGTCAGACGTGGTGCGGGCTGGCTACCCTGGGCGGAGTCAGGCCGAGTCGGTGCTGCCTGGCCGCGTGGTTGTATAAACTCTGGTACACTGACTGGTCCCACTCACGTGCGGCAGTATCAGACGTGGTGCGGGCTGGCAACCCTGGGCGGCGTCAGGCCGAGTCGGTGCTGCCTGGCCGCGTGGTCGTCTGCTGCCGCCATCGCAGCCGCTTCGAGTTGCGCGCGCAATGCTACCAACTCCCGAGTGCGTTGATATATCGGATCCTAGGAGATTAATCACATTTTCAAACCAACAAAATTAACATTAAGAAAATTTATTATTTTAAAGGCGGGTTCGAGTCCCGTCTGATGCCTGGTTCGCGTGGATTTTTTCTAGTAAAATTTTCTTTAGTTTAAATCTACAACGACATCTTGCAGTTATATGATTAAATTATATATATACTAGCTGACCCAGCGAACTTCGTACCGCCCTAAAAAAATAGGGGTTGTCCAGCGGACAAAATTGTGAATCTAAACCATTCTCAGATCCCCTTGAACACACACAAAAAATTTCATCAAAATCGGTCCAGTCGTTTAAGAGAAGTTCAGTGACATACACACTCACAGAAGAATTATATATATAAAGATATAATTGCTAAAATAGCAAAATGGCGGGTTCGAGTCCCGTCTACTGCCTGGTCCGCATGGAATTTTTTCTAGTAAAATTTTCTTTAGATAAGCCAACGATATTAAATAGTAAAAATATAAATTAACAATATTAATAACCCTAGATACACCACATGCACTCAAAATGTGTCCCAATCAAGATGTGCTTGAACACCACTCAAGCACTTCTTGGTTCACAATCACGCGCGGACCGTTGAAATGTCAAGATGCCGCGGAACTCCGTGAAAAAAATACTTACAGTTCGTAAACTATCGTTTTTTCGACAGTTATCTAATCAATGTTTGTTAATTTAACGCATTTGAAGCAGATTTTGTTTCATTGAAACAGTTTCAATACTTACTATAAACTGATTCATTAGAAAATATTTATGATATTTGTTTCTTAGGTTTTCACGCACATCACTCATTAAATAAAACTAGTTTAAACGGGATAATGCACGAAACTTTATTTATTTATTGACGTTTCGTAGCCTTTCCAGGCTTCGTCGTCAGAATAAAACTTTTGTTTAATTTGTCGAGCTACCTTCGAAAGACTTTTATTGAGCGTTTGGTTATTTCATCATTTCATGCGACTGTGGGCTCTCCTACATCGGTCAAACAAAGAGGAGTATAGGGACTCGCGTAAAAGAACATATCGCAGATATGAAACATAGGCGCGAAAATAAATCTGCAGTGTGTGAACATGCATTAGGGGAACCTAACCACTACATTAGATTTGATAGACCACAGATCCTTGCAGCTGAGCGGCGTTTCGTTCCTCGAATGATGCGCGAGGCTATTGAGATTAAAAAATATCCAAATTTCAATAGGGAAGATGGTTGGTATATACCACCAGCTTGGGAACCTATTATACAGGAGATAAAATCCCAACCCCGAGCACATACTGCAAGACCATCAGATACTATTAGTTCTTTTTGTTTGCATAATTTAACATAAGAAGGAGATAGAAAGCCTCTCTTGAGTTTGTTTCGCCGTTTCTTCTCAGGAAGGTCTCCCAATTTTGGAACCGGTGGTAGTTTACGGTAGTTAGGGTCAAATAAATAAACGCAAAATTACAAACAAGAATTTTAAATAAAATAATTTATTAAGTAAATTAAATAATAAATTCATACATAGACAATAAAACTTAAAAATCGAACGATGAAATAACCAAACGCTCAATAAAAGTCTTTCGAAGGTAGCTCGACAAATTAAACAAAAGTTTTATTCTGACGACGAAGCCTGGAAAGGCTACGAAACGTCAATAAATAAATAAAGTTTCGTGCATTATCCCGTTTAAACTAGTTTTATTTAAATATTTATGATATTCAAATGCATGGTCAGTAATATAGCCCTTTCTTTTCCTCGCGGTCCGTACTTGCTATATTGCTAACAGCGCATTCAGAAATGCGCGTAGAGTAAAAAATAATTCAAAAAAATGATTCCCGCTGAGGTAAGTTTCCAATATTGTCTAGACTTAATAATAGTTGTAATGGAGTTGTCCTTTCTAAAGTTTAATGTTAGTCACTACGTAACGCCAGTCTGTCGAATTCCTATATACTTTTTTAACACTTGGCCATGGGTCCAACTTACGAAGCCGAGAAACAATTATTAAGCCACTGCCTTTGGGGTTATAGGTGCTATGAGGAGATTTTGACGCTGAGGAAGATGCCTGAGTAATCCCCAGCTTGGCAACGATGGCAAGATTTTGAAAGATTTTCGTCTTCGGAAATTCGTCGGCTGTATCCGACCGATACTTCCTACCTGACGCTTGGAACCTTTGAGAAGCTGAACCTTCTACCTACCTGCAGGGCGGATTCCATGAAGGTCTATTTTTTAGGTAGGTACCTACCTACCGAGACGTGACGGTCACGGAATTATATTGGAAAAATAAAGGATTTGTTTCTACAAATAAATATTTAATTCCGAACCTCTCTAACTACCTGCGACCCTACAGTCCATCAAATCTAACAAGTACCGTTTGACGTTTCATGTTTTTCAAACAGATATAACTTTGTTTAAGCGTAACTTATTCAAATTCGATAACCTTTTTCGTAAAACCATGAATTTATAAAGGTTTTATTATTGGATCTAAAAATGTACAATTCTTAATATCTAAATTTAATTGAAAACTTTCAAACAAAGCAAAATAAACAATATTTACACAATAAATAAGTTCTCATAGTTCTATTCTTGACCTCATTGCAAAGTCACATAGTTAGGTCACTGCTCGTAGTGTTGCGACTCTTCGGAATCAATTTTGTACGAAAAAATCGTGTACATTATTCGGAAAATCGAATTTATTACTTTCAAATTATCAATTAATGACTTTGTAAAAATACATGACAGATGACAAAATGATCAAATTTGATGGCTCGGTCCATAATCTACTCAGATTACGATGTTGTAAGCGCTAGAAGCGCTTATGGCCAATGTCAGATCACGGCCAGAAAGCGAGTTTTCGACGTAATGTTTAGAGGTAGAGCGCAATTTATTTTTTGTATAAATTCACGTTACTGCTCGATCGCATAATGCATTTAATACATAGGTACCCTAAAATAAATTAATTTAATTATTTTCAAATAAATCTATATAGGCGAAATAGCTCTAGAAAAAAGATTTTTTTATCAGACAACACTGCCGACCACAAGCGCACGCGGTCCCCCTCGCCCGCGTCAGCAGTCTCTCGCCATCTTGGAAGCTGACTGTGCGCGTACCTACTTTCTCGTTTGTGTTTTACAATTTGTGACTTGGCTATTACTTTTCTGGACTCTGAACTAAGCAAGTGTTTATTAATAATGTCCAAAAGAGGACGTACTTTGAACAGCCAGGCTCGTGAATTGGTGGTGAAATGACACGAGTATTTTGAGCGTGAATGTCAAAATGGTGGAGCTCTACTGCCAGTTACACAAGATCGGGATCGCGTCGGTGAAGCTATCGGTATTGGTAGCCGCACCGTCGGCAAAATATTAAGTGAAAAATATGGGCCTTCGGGGAGTGACAGTAACGTACTTCACACGCCGAAAAAAAGGAAAAGAACTAAACCTGTGACAGGTATCGATGACTTCGATAGGCATGCTATTAGAAACCATATCTATGGTTATTTTACAAGAGACGAATTTCCAACATTGGCAAAGTTATGTGCAACTTTAGAAGATGCCGGGCTGTGCAAGGGAAGCATAGAGTCGTTGAGAACGATAATAACAGGAATTGGCTTCAGATACAAAAAAGTTGACAAACGAAAAATTGTTATGGAGCGACATGACATAATTATGCAGCGACTAACAATCCAGCGCGAAGTAAAACAAATTATAAACTGGGATAATGTAATATTTTTGGACGAAACATGGCTAAATTCCAACCTCTCTGTGCCGAAAACATGGACAGATGATTCTGAAACTTCGTGCTCGAAAGTGCCGATAGGGAAAGGTCATTATATGCCATGCTGGATCAGCGTCTGCAGGTTTCGTGGAAAATTCATTATTAGCTTTCCAATCTAAAAGCACAAAAGAGTATCATGAAGAAATGGACGCGGAAAGGTTCCAAGAGTGGTTCTTAAATTTACTAACGAATATCCCTCCTAACAGCACAATTATAATGGATAATGCCCCATACCACTCTGTGCAAATTGATAAAGTACCAACATCAGCCAATAAGAAAGCAGATTTGGTGGCGTGGCTGCAAAGAAAAGGAGTGGAAGCCGACATGTCACTATTAAAAGTTGAATGGTTACATTTAGTGAAATTGCATAAACCACCAAGACCGACTTATGCTATTGACCAATTAGCCGAAGAACACGGGCACAAAGTCATACGACTGCCTCCGTACCATTGCCAATATAATGCCATTGAACTGATTTGGGCCCAAGTTAAAGGTAATACTTTATAATATAATAATATTTTTTAGTAGTTGATTATATTAATAACAAGAACTTGTTCTTAATAAGCTGAAATATATTGTGAATTGAGATTTTCCGTTAAGTACAGTAATACTGTAAAACATTACCCTTCTTCTTCGCAGTTGTGTTAAATTGTACATTACCTAACAAAATATAGCAAGATTAGCTTAACACATTTTGTAGCCACATAACACAAGTGCCTCTAGCTTTTATAATTTAAAAAATAGTCTAAGTCTCCCACCTAATAATTATATAATTGTTTTACAGGTTATGCAGCAAGACACAACACAAAACCACCCTTCAGTGTCAAGAAAATGGAAGGCTTATTAAAGGAAGCATGTGCGCAAGTTACACAAGAAGATTGGTCAAAAGTAGTAGAAAAAACAAAGAAAATAATAATGGACGACTTCAACAGAGACGTAAAATTCGATGGTTTCATGGATAATCAACTAGTCATTCATTTAAATGACGATGATGACGAGGACGACAATGATTCCAGTACTTGTAGTGAATAAAAAAATGTCCTAAACATTACTTTTATTTAAATGCTTCGACTTCGACCTTTAGAACCTTAAGATTTTTTCGGTATTCTATCCTCAGATTACTAGTAAAACCTAAATTTACCAATAAACAACCTTTTACAATAACATATTTAAAAAATATAGGAAAAGAGTACAGGGAAATAATATCTTAAATTTCGGATATTATGGTCATTGATCTCTTAAAATTCGGATATTATAGTAATCGATCTCTTAAAATTCAGATATCATAGTAATCGATTTTTTAAAACCCATCCCTATTATTCAATTTTTCAGAACTGTCAAACGGTACTTCTTAGATTTGATGGACTGTAATCAGTCGCAACAGCATGCATTAAATGTGACTTTCATTGTTTAAATAATGCCTTATATTGTTTTTAACTACGCCATCATCTTACGGAGCTCCGTGGATCGTCCAATGTACCTTTTGGACAGGTTTCGGTCACGATTTTGTTCGTGTTGTTGTAGGGTATTTAATATCGTTGAGTTAAATGCTTAAAATATAATAAAATTAACATTATATGATACAGCCCGCATGTAAAAGCTACCGGTTTGTAATTCCCGCCCCTAAACATAGCGATACATCGGGGCACGAATTTAATTATCCGACTGTGCCGTTACACCAACGAATTATGAATGATATGAAAGCATTTCGTAGTCATTTTACGACTAAACTCCAATACTAACGCGACACGCAAACAGACAAAATATAATAATTTGACAATACAAATAACTGCATAAAATTCGGCTATGCATTCATTGGATAAGATAATATCAACCAATCCCATAATCGGTGTGCTGATCGCACTTTTTTCGCCCCGCCCATTTAATCGCAGTTTAAGTGGAACCACTTTTTAGCGCAACTCGTATTCTACATCATTTCTAATTCGTTGCCTCCCACTGAAGTGTGTCATCAAAACGCGACTTACCTTCTCCGCACACCTCAACGTGGGGCTATGTAGATTACAAAGTACAATTTAGTCACGGGTACCCTAGTGAAGGTGCTTTGTAAAGTTAAACAGCTATATTTCTTGTTTAATGAAACATCAAATGAACATAAGTAAAAATAAAGTACTCACTTGCTGCCTCATTGTGGGATTCCATCTGCAATACAGTGCCTTCCAAAGTTTGATGACTCGAAGAGACGCCACCGGCACCAGAACCACTTGGGGCCGGGAGTAAGGCGACGGCGGCGAGTTGGTGCCAAACGAGGAAGGACCCCAATATAAGGGGTTCAAGTAGAGGTCCTGGCGGCTATTTATGTACGACCAAAGGGAGACGGTCTTCACCTTCACTTCTGAAAAGAAATCTTTATCAAACAAAAGGCTACCACTTTAGTGTCCAAAATTCTGCAATACCACCAGCAACGTTGAAAACCTACTTGGCCAATTTTCACTATTTTGTACTGTAGATTAAACTATATACTACCTATATACAATTTTCGAAATTGATGGATTTCGAGATTTTAAATTGTTGTAGGTTTATATATATATATTTAATTCGAATAGTATAAAAAACTCGACTTTTTTAAACAAGCTTTTATTCTAAGTAAGTAATAAAAAGAAGTTAAAATAATTTCATTATACCATTGGTAAATGCAGTTATTCCACTATTATTCCACTTTTCGATTATAAGCGGGCCAAATTTTGTTTTAAGTATTTTAATGTCTAGAAAAGATACAATAATAACAAATTAAATATTTCGTCGAGTTCGCCCGTTTACTGGCAACGTAACCCGCTATATCAGCAAACTAATCCGTTGAGTAAACAAGCTAGCAGTCACCTGACGGGATTACTATGGCTATCGCTATCGCTTACGATTTCATTTTGTTATTTCTGGCCGCCGAAAGGTATTCAAATGTCTTGCGCTCTTTTTTTTCTTTTGCATTGGTAATAACAATATTAAAGGAAATGAGTGTGAGGTATTTGAAAATCTTAGGCGGTCAGAAATAACAAAATGAAATCGTAAGCGAGAGCCATAACAAACCTGTAAGGCGATTGGCCCCCAGATCTTGGGACCCCGTGGCCTCGCACAGGCGAACAGTCATATCCTTAAGAAATAATTTAGCTGGGCCTCAAGGACCAATTATTTCAATTGTTTTAAGTTTTAATCCTGTCAGAATTAGGCCAACACTATCCCATTCAATCTGCTATGCCACTGTTTCGTACACTCTGTATAATGAATAGGGTCGAGTGGGGGATAGTGTAACATAAGGAATATCTCTGCCATTTTCTTATTTGTCTATGGTCTGTCTTGACACATTTTTAGTAGTGTATTATGCCGATATCTTAAGCAGCATGACTGGGTATAATACAGAAATATTACATAAGTTACCCTGTGCCCCTTGTTACTTTTAGTGACCCAAACTTACCTTCTTTAACTCTCTCGCGCTCAGTGTTGAAGAGGAAAGTTCCGAATCTGCACGAGTAGAGGTGATCGACTATCGTGATAAGCAGTCGCTCGGTGAACTCGAACGCGGTCGGGAACTGCTGCTGCAGCTGCCAGACACAGTCGACCCACTGCACGAATACGGGCGAACGGTCCGCGTCCGAGTGGCGTTCGTCGCCGTGACCGATCCGCTATTAAATAACATTCCCGAATATTTATCATTTTGGGTGTTAAAATAACTCGAAAGCGTTCGGGAACTGCTGCTGCAGCTGCCAGACATAGTCGACCCATTGCACGAATACGGGCGAACGATCCGCCTCTGAGTGGCGTTCGTCGCCGTGACCGATGCGCTTTCAATTAACATTCCCGACTAATTATCATTGTGGGTGTTAAAATAACACGAACGCGTTTGGGAACTGCTGCTGCAGCTGCCAGACATAGTCGACCTATTGCACGAATACGGGCGGAGTCCTTTCGACCCCGTCCGAGTAGCTTTCTTCGCCGTGACCGATGCACTATCAATTAATATTCCTGACTATTTATCATTGTAGGAGTTAAAATAACTCGATCGCAGTCGGGAACTGCTTCTGTAGTTGCCACACCGCTGAAATAGTTCATAGCCGTGGCCAATTCAATATTAATTAATTATTGTCGACTATTTAGGTAAATTGTAAGCTGTTGAGTTTGATTTAGAGTTAATAGTTCAGGCATCAATTTATTTATTACATGTGAACGTATTTTGGCTTTCGAGTAAGATAATAATTATTCATAACACAAATTCATATCATAAGGTAATTTTTAGCGTGTTTTAATTCCGTCCAGTCATGTGACAAACTTGTATTTTTTATTTCACACAGTGTAATTAAGATGCCTATTGAATACTTGCATAGAGGCCATGGTAAAATTTTGTATGAGCGACTGCATTATTGTACTTAGTAATATTTAATACTGAAGGGCTTAGAATTAATAATTTCTATGAAAAAAGGCTTAGGAACTTTTGATAAAGTTACAATACTAAAAACAGGTAAACACCTACTACATCATTATCTTGCTACATTTGATAAAAGATATTGCCAATTATTTACGCATCAATTTTGCATTTTTCATACAATATTTTCGGTAAAACTGTACTTCCAGGGCCCAAGAATTGACACTTCACTATTTTTTTGTGAAAAGGTCTCTGTCAATGAAGTCTCTATGCAAAGAAAGTCTCAACACCAGGGCACTAATAGTTTTTGAGAAAAATAAAATATTGAATATTACTTTTCTAGTAAATAAATAACACCATTTTGACAAATCACATTGTTTTTTTTATATTCTCTTTTTTTTAGATAAGGCAAAATAAACAAAGTGCATACAGCCTTATTTTTTATTTTATGATTTTCATGTCAAGATTATTATACAACCATCGAGAGTCTTACTCTGTTAGTTTACAATAACTGAAAATTGTTGGCTGCCAAAGAAATGGCAGCCAACAATTTTCAGTTATTGGAAAGAAGAGAGAAAGGAGGAATATATGCGTCTTCAAAGTTATCTACCAATTTTTTTTGTTATACACTGCACTTCCGCATCATCTTCGGCGCTGCGGGATTAGCAACCCCTCCGACCTTGCGTAACAAAGGCTCACAGGCATTCATGCTCTCCCCTCCGCTATGGGTCGCGAATGCCTGTGGCTTTGTTACAGCGGACGGGGGCTGCTCCCCCTCCGCGCCTCTGGGCTCTGGAAAACACTCTAGGGGTAGGGCAGACCAAGACCACGGCGTTTCGGGGTTGACAAAGTCGGTTCTGTATTCAAGTTGCATAAACAACCTAATAATAAGAAAGAAAGTAGGTACATGAAGAGAAAAATACTATGTATTTACAATTATTATCGTACACAATTAAAAGCTTTTAATAAGTACCTATTATGAAAAATTTCTGTACTTCATTTTTATTTTCGATGGCTGTAGGTATAATAATTTCAACTTTCGTCTCATAGATTACTAAAAAAAGGTAAATTTAAAAAATCAAAAAACCCGACTGCTTAATGATACTTCAAATAAAAACTGAAAAGAAAAAAACAAGCCCAGTAGTCTATAATTCTGTTAATAAGGAACAAAGCTACTTTAACAGTCGGAACTCATTATTGAAAAATATTATGTATTCTTGAATATCTAATCTATCTAATTATAGACTACTGGACTTGTTTTTTTCTTTTGAGTTTTTATTTGAAGTATCATTAAGCAGTCGGGCTTTTTGATTTTTTAAATTTACCTTTTTTATTTTACACTTTTTAGTTAGGTAGTTAGTATTATAAGACGGTATATACCGTGGTCTTGCTACTTCAGTAAGGGAATTAATATCGCGGGAATCATTAAGTACCTTGCGGTGGTCTAAACGATTGATTTATTAAGACATATAGAGACTTTACCAGCGGGGTCAAGGCTACAGATGGGCCTCAATTTTCGCAAAAATGTGTGAAGTTAAATTAAGTCGTTAACTATTTAACTAATGTATGTAAATTTTATAACTAACACTTATCAAAAAGTCATCTTTTGTTTATGTTCTTTTAAGTAGTTTTTTTCATGTCAACGTCCGGCTCTAAGATTGTGATATACACAAATGCAGTGTCATATCCTAGTCTCATAATTTGATATACCTAAATAATTCACAGAACCCCAATATGTAGATGCCAGAAGTTAACTTCAAATGTTGTTAATCACCCTATATACAGTACCAATCAATGACGTTTATGTCGCAGGTTGAAGAAAGCAGTAATTCCCATCTGTTGTTTTGGACAATGGTGGCAACTGCCTTAGATCGCTAAATTAAATAATTATGCAATCACCAAAGCAAAGTTTATAATATTTGATTAAACTAAAGGTGCATAATAAATTTTTCATAACGTTAGGTAGAGCACCATAGCAATCTCATTTATTATCAATTTATAGTTCTCTTTGTAGTTTTCTTTTAAAGCGTTCACCAATAATAGGTTAAAGACTTTGTGATCGACCCTTTTTTATTGGTAGTGTAAAGCTCGAATGAAAAGTACTTCCACCTACCAAGCTTGCTGCTACCAGCCTAGTAGGTATTGCAAATAGTGCAATCATGGCAATTATTGTCCAAATATTTATTTTGTATAAAAAAAATATAGAAATAACGTATCACTGTTAAACACAAATGCTATGTAACTTTTACAAATATAGTCAAGTAAACCTATTACTTACTTTATTTTTAAATCTTTTTCATCAATTAAATACTATTATCCTAACTATCTATACTAATTTTATAAAGAGGCAAGATTTGTATGTTTGTAACAAATAATCTGTCAAACTACTGAACCGGTTTTAAATATTAATTCATCATAAGGTAGCTACATAATTTATTATTACATTTTCTTTATTTAAATACATTTTGTCCGAGTGACATAGGCTATATTTTATCCCGATAAAATAAATTTCGCCCGTACAATGCCCGGGTGGATCACTAGTAAGTATAATATTATAGACGCGAAAGTGAGTTTGTTTGTTGCGCTTCCGTGCCCTAATAGCTCAATCGATTATAACAATTCCCCTATAGAAGTAGATAGGAACTTGGTTCTTAGCTACAACATCGCAATACTTATAGGCGTAGGGTGATTTACCTATAAAACTCTATATTATTTTCTAGTAAACTTTTCTTTAGATTTAAACATCTAGCAGTTAAATGCTTAAAAATAAATAAAAACATATCTATATTATTTACTTTGAATTTTGCAGAATTATCGTTTATAATTACAAAACCAATATTATCGCGAGCTGATTAATAAATACAGGGATTCCAATAAGTATGTACCTACTAGCGAAAAATGGGTTATTTGTCATTATATTAAGTAAACCCTTTATTTGTAACATTAAGTAATATCGTTAAAAAAACAATATAATTCTGAGTTTTTCAATAATCATAAATACCTATTATGATAATTTATTTTTCATCATTTAATAGGAAGGAACTGTATCACACTTTTATTGTAAGTACTTCGTATAGGATCAGATACTGCGAGTAGCCCATTTTTTTCTTTTTCGACTAGGTTTTATCTACGTTTATAAACACCTAAATTAAATTTCTTCTCTTAGTATTCCCGCAGTGTAAGTACTCCTACATGGTACACCGCGCTATCACTAACTTTGTCATCGTTGTAACTTTTTAAATATTTGTCGAAATGACATACTGTAAAAGGCAAAGTTTATCGTCTTTAAATATCAAAGGCGATAAAAGTATTTGCTTTGTTATAAAAAAAAATTTGTTAATACAAAATGTGCATTTTGGAAATAGAAAAATGTGCATTTTTATCCGTGCGGTGACGGAGAAAGAATACAACTCACCGCCCCTTCTCTTCCCGTGGGTGTCGTAAGAGGCGACTAAGGGATATCGGAGCTTCCATCCGCTCTGCTGGTGGTAGGGTACCTAACACCCGCCTGGTTTGTTACCACCGTGCGCATGGTGAAAAACCCGTGAAGTCTCGCGCGTTTCGGGGTCAGCCAGCGTACAACCAGGGCTCGAGTGGAGGTTTTCGCGACGGATTCGGTCCAGGGCTAGGCATCCGTGGAACCGATGCCGGGAGGACTGCATCGACCCGCCGGCCAGGGAGACCCGTAGAAACGGCGGTCCCGCTGGCCGCCCGTGGCACAGTACAGGGGCCCGAGCGTTCCTATCCAGTTCGCGAGGCTGCCCCATCATGTCACGCATAATCTCGGGGTGGACCGTCGTGCCGGTTGTTGACCGGGGCGCGGGGTCCCGGCGGCCACTTCCGGGGGGGTGCGGGGGCCCTTCCGTCCGGCGGGTCGGCATATATCCTCTGCAGGCAATCATTCGGGGAAACATGCCTCCCTAATTTGCCCGGTCTTGTCGCGACAACGTCCACTCGTTTCACGTCTCTTTTTCACTTCCATAATGGCAGCTCCTAAAACAAAGTTTGGACGTTCAGCGGTGCACACCCCCACGCCTTCAACGCTGTTTAAGGTCGAGTTCTGCAACATACGCGGACTCCACTCTAACCTCAACGCTGTCCACCACCATCTTGAGACAGCACGGCCAGCATTGTTGTTTCTGACGGAGACACAAATACTTCCGCCTGCTGACACAGGCTACCTTAAATATCCCGGCTACGTGCTTGAAGAGTCCTTCAAAGCGAAAGCCGGTGTATGCCTGTATGTTCGGGCGGATGTTTGTT